TTAATCTCGGTTTTTATTATGTTAATTTCTGTTTGTAGATCTTGGATAGTGACTTCTTTAGGTTTGTTATTAAACCTTTCTAAAGTTTTATATAGACTAAAATTGGGCTTACTAATTGTTGGGGCTTCAGGTTCTGAGTTACCTAATAATACCTTAAGTTTTTTAAGATATAAGGTTTTTAACTCAGGGTCATTTACCTTACTGATTAGATCAATGAGTAGATGTTCTTGTTCATCATTTTTTGTAAGAACATTAAGCGACTTACTAGGATTGCAGCAACTATCTTTACATCCTAGGGTAATATTGGGAGAACTAGGAGAAGCATCAGATGACTAGGAAGAGGAACCAACTTCTGGATCACTACTGCTATCATCAGTGTCTTTTAACTGGAGAATTTGGTAAATGGATTCTTTAATTTCACTAGGGATTTGTAACTGATTGATTTTGGTCTTTGCATAACAGTCTTTTGCAAAGTGACCTTGACGACCACATTTGTGGCATTTATCATTTATGGTAGGGGTATTCTTTTTCTTAAAATCCTTTTTCCTAAATTTCTTTTTAGGTTTAGGCTTTTGAGAATAATATTCATTTTTTGGAAAGACTGGTTTCTTATTTTTGTAATTCCTATGGTAACTTTTCTTTTGTGACTTGGGGTGTTGTCGAGAGGGAGCTATGGATAGAAGACCATGTTGTTCACAAAAGGTTCTCATTTCATAGTTAGCTCGCTTTCTATCATCCTGTAACTGGTTACTAATTTTCATGTCAATACACATCCTTAATCCTTCCTTTTGGATTAAGCTGATGATATTGCCATATGTGAGGTTATCATAATCAATTTTACCTGTGGCTTTACTAAGAGTATCTCGAATTTTATGGGCAAAGAGATTAGGTAATCCATTAATGAATTTTTCTTTCCAGAATGGTTTGTTACTATCATCTCTCATCGTGACTCTGGATAAGAATACATCTTTATACCATCTAAAATCACTCATGGTTGGGCAAGAGAGATTGGTAAGCTGGTCATGTATTCTAGAGGTGATGTTACTGAGAGTACCTATAAAATGATCAACTATGGTATAAACAAGAGTATTAACTCCATCAGGAATAGCACGACCTATGGCTTCATAAAAAATGGGAAGACCATCATTGTCCTTTTGAATAGCATTTTTGATTTGTGTTCGAGAATCTTCAGTTAGATGTTTCTACCACCAAAATTTTAACATCCCAGAAAATCCTAAAGCCAGCAGATCAACTATTTCAGGTTGACTAAGATTATGTGTGGTAACATAATTATTAGCCACCATGGAAATATGACTAAGTTTATTTAGAATTTCCTGTTCTGATAAACCATCTATATTATATTCATAGAGTTTATCAGAGGATACAGAAAATTGATTTTGAATATTTCTTTCTTCATATTGAAGATCAGGGGGTGTTGGCCTAGGATACCAATTTTTGATAAGACTAGTTGGATTGACACGTTTATTGACTAATCGATTAATTTCTATATTAGAAAAAGCATGTTCAAGTTGTTGAATATCAGAGGGGTAACTAGAGGTGGAAGAAAGACTATCAAAATCATCAGTATTATTGATGACAGTGAGTGTTTTATCTTCTTTAATGGCTTTGCCTTTCTCCATGGTTTTGAGAAGAGTGTCAATCTGGAGAATTACAGAAGGATCAGGAAGGGCTTTGGGAAGGCCTTTTTGCTGTGTAGGCATAGAAATAATTGGTGACTCTAGTGGGGTAGAGATAACAAGTGGAATAGGAGGCTTACTAAGGGAAATTTCAATTTTATCTAGTTGAGTCCCAATAGTGTGTAAATATTGGTTAGTAAAATTATTTTGTTCAATGACTTTCCTTGTGTCATTATCAGTAACTGTGGTAATAACTTTTAAAGGAGAGGCTGGGATCTCTGTTCCCATGTGATCTATAACCAAGGAGTCTAGTGGAGGATGGGAGGAGGAAACTGTTGATTTATTTTTCCACTTGACTTTAGTTAATACATTGACTTGATTATAACAGTTTTCTAGATAATAAAAAATTTGATTTCTAGTTGATGCTCTGTCATAAATTTTTGCCAATGACGGAGGATTTTTTGTTGTTCCTTCTCAGTATGATTTTTCCAGAAAGTCTTTCTTTTTGCTTTGTTTTGCTAAGAGGAATATTCATCATGTAACTTGAAGAGATCATATTTAAAAGGTTTACGAATAGTGTTTAACAAAGGGTCGATTAGGTTTATTAATTGATATATATGTACATATCCAGAAATATACATCATTGCCCACAATCTTCTGTCAACCACGTTCCCTTGAATTTTGGTAATTTCCCTTCTTGAGACCTTCCTTCTAGGTTTAAATTTCATGGAGCCATGAACTCCTTGATTTTAGTAGCTTTCTCATCGTGGGTAGTATTCCAGAATATAAATATAAGGGTAAAGTACAACCACACCCCCTGAGGTTTGGCAAAAGGACACTCAGATGAAATTTACTTGTTTTTTGGACAAAGACCACCCCTGAAGATTCAAAAATGGACAAAAACACCCCTTTACATGAGAAATTGACTAAATTACCGTTTAACCATTTAGGAGACTTTTTTAACTTTACAATTTAATAAATTGGACCAATCTACCCTCATGAACAATTTATGCATAAAAAAAAAAGGTAACCAAAAAAAAAAAAAAAAAACCTTATATTGTTCACTTTTTTTTTTTTTTTTTGTTATTTACTTTATAAATGTCCTAACTTCTTAAAAATGTAGGCGTCTAAAATAATTTTTTGATCCAATACATATATTTCAAATAAATTATATTTTGTTATTACTTCTTTTCTTTTTCTTTTTTTATTTTTAAATTAAGATGCTTAATTATTTCATCTAAAAAAATTAAACTAATCTCTTTTCCTTAAAAATAAAAAATATTGTACCTTTATGTTGGGAAATGCATGATATTTGATATATAATTTAGGATGCATAAAAATAATAATAATAAAACAAAGGGGGAAAAAATAATAAAACAAAGGGAGAAAAAAAAAAAAAAAAAAAAGGCACGCATAAAGTTAAGATGCATAAAATTATACTGATACCTATTTTCTTTTATATTAGAAAATGTATAATATTTGATATATAATTTAAGATGCATAAAGTTATATTGGTACCATATTTTTTATTTTTAAGGAAAAGAGATTGGTTTAATTTTTTTAGATGAAAGAATTAAGCATCTTGCATAATATTTGATATATAATTTAAGATGCATAAAGTTATATTGGTACCATATTTTTTATTTTTAAGGAAAAGAGATTGGTTTAATTTTTTTAGATGAAAGAATTAAGCATCTTAATTTAAAAATAAAAAAGAAAAAGAAAAGAAGTAATAACAAAATATAATTTATTTGAAATATATGTATTAAATCAAAAAATCATTTTAAGAAGTTAGGACATTTATAAAGTAAATAACCAAACAAAAAAAAAAAAAAAAGTGAACAATATAAAGATTTTTTTTTTTTTTTTACTTTTTTTTATGCATAAACTATTCATGAGGGTAGATTGGTCCAATTTATTAAATTGTAAAGTTAAAAAAGTCTCCTAAACGGTTAAAGGGTAATTTGGTCAATTTTTCATGTAAAGGGGTGTCTTTGTCCATTTTTGAACCTTCAGGGGGTGTCTTTGTCCAAAAAACAGGTAAGTTTCCTCTGAGTGTCTTTTTGCCAAACCTCAGGGGGTGTGGCTATACTTTACCCTAAATATAAATATTTATACACACATATACACACATACATATATATATATGCAAAAATATATACTTGCTATTTTAAACCATCACCCACTTCCCTTTCTTCTGTAATGTTGCCGACTTAGCTGAAGTAGTTGTTTGGATTCTCATAAAAACAAGGAGAAAATCCAGCCCCACGTGCTCTTGGTCAACTCTTGCCTTGACGTAATTAAAAACCTTCCTTTTAGGATTCTTTAAAAGCACGATCTTTTCATAAACCTTCCATAATACCAACTCTTAAAAGAATTGATCCAACGTGGTCAACACCGTGACAAGCTCAGTAGAACTCGCCATGTGGGAAAAAACAATTGGTTTGATGAACTTTGACTTGGATAAGTGTATGAGGTTGAATATAGTATAGTATTTCCATGTAATCTCTTCATTCCATATAGGAAGATGTGGGCCCTTGTTTTAAAGATGGCAAGTCCTATTTGGACTCACCTCTTTCCTTTTTTAAAATAGAAAACCCCACATGGTAGGATTGTACTAACCCACTTATCTTTGATTTTTAATTACTACGTAATATTGCATAGCTCCCAATAATAACTTATTAGAGTTGCAATCCAGTGTGGTAAGTTCCATTGGAACTCACCACATATCGCCTTTCCATTGAGCCAAAAATAATAGAGTAAACATATGCCCCCCAAATTTCATGCCTTGTGGAACAATTTGATGACAAGGCATGTGATTTGAATTTCGCCATATAAAGCAGAAGAAAAAGAAATTGAAGAAGAAGAAGTGGAAGTACTGGAAGAATGAAGGGATGTTTTGTATAAAACAAAGGGATAAGAAAAAGTTTCTTAGGTACTTTCAATATGGCTGGACTTAACTTGGAATTGCTAACATGGAAATTCATGTATATACAAGCGAGATGAGTAATTTTAGTATGAATAGAACCTGGACCATGTAATGTAGACTCTTCTCAATGAAATGCTCCATACTTAGGAAATCAGCTGATCTTGGAAATTCAGCTAAGTCTGCTTCATAACTTTAGCCAATGTATTTGTCCAAGTACTTAGCTTTTCCTTCTTAGAATGGCCGAAGTATGGCCATTACGCTTCCTTTCCAGCTTTTCGGTTTACTTGGAAAGGAAGATACTAGCCATTCTACATGGCCGGTTGAATGATTGTGGATTTCCAGTTTTCAGAGATTGAAGGGTGATATTCTTTCAAGTATGCACCATTCACAGGATGCTTGTAGGATCCTCCATCTATGTTCATCAATCTATAAGCCTATTTTCCAAGGACTTGTTCCACCAAGTAAGGACCATCCCAATTAGGGGTCCACTTTCCATATTCATTGTCTTTAACTGCAGGTGAAAACTTGACTTGCCATACCAAATCTCCTTCAACAAATGATTTTGCCTTTACTTTCTTGTTGTATGCCCACATGACTTTCTTCTTTTGAGCAATAACATGGTCTAAGACATTGAGACAGACTTCATCAAGGTCTTCCAATTCTACCAACATAGCATGGTTGTAATCTGCTGGAGTTAGCTTATTTTGGAAAGCCACCCTTACAAACCTAATGGTCATCTACATTGGAAGGACGACATCATGTCCATATGTAAGTATATATGGTGTGACGCCCGTACTCGATCTTTTTAAATTCCTGTAAGCCTAAAGGGCCTCAGAAAGTAGGTGATGCCATTCCTTCGATGATTCTCCACCATCTTTTCAAAAATGTTAAGAATTACTTTGTTGGAAGCTTCTACATGTCCATTTGCTTGGGCAAAATACGGAGTAGAACTGATCACTTGGACACCACATTTAGAACAATAATCAATAACTTGGTTTCCAACAAAGGAAATGCCTCTGTCAGTGGTGAGAGTTTCTAGAATTCCAAACCTATGAATAATGTGTTTCTTGATAAAATCAATCACCGTTGACTGCTCACAGGTCTTCAATGGAATAACCTCTACCCACTTTGTGAAATAATCGATTGCAACCACCATATAAGTGTGGCAATCTGCAGATGATGGCCTTAACTTTCTAATAAAATCCAAAGCCCACCCTCTGAATGTCCATATTTTCACTACCGGCTACATGTTGATGGTTGGAACTCTTTGGACTGGGCTATGTTCTTGACATGCAATACAAGTCTTTACAAACTCTATGCAATCTTTTAATATGTCTTTCCAATAATAACTGTACCTTCTAAGAAGCCACATCATCTTGATTCCAGCTTGATGTGCTTCGCATATTCCAATGTGTGATTCTGTCATCACTCTCATGGACTCATTCCTGCCAAGGCGTCTAAACAAGAGTCCATCTTCTTTATTCTTTTTGTAGAGATCTCCATCAATCAAAATATAATAAGGTGTCAAAAGCTGACTCTCTTGTCCACCTTAGCACAAGGCTCCTGTAAGAAATGGATAATTGGTGTTCTCCAATCTTCCAAGTCTAATCCATCTATATCAACATTGAAAATCTCCCATGTCTTCCTGGCAGGTTTGATTTTTTCTGGCCCGTCAGCTTGGAAATGACCTGCCATCTCATGCCGTGACTCTATAGAAGGGAGAGTCCTTCTATTAATTGTAATCAAGTTCTCTTCTACACCCAGTGGGACTTTTACTCGAGAAGCTAATTAAGCTAGATCATCAGCCTCCATGTTTAAATGCCTTGGCCAATATTTGAGTTGGAAATCATCAAACTAGCATAGTAATTCCAAGGCCACAGAGTGAAAAGGCCTCAAATGCCAGTTGAGACATCTATATTCTTCAGAAAGTTGGCTAAGTATCAAGTTTAAATCTCCAATAATCTAGACCTTATCCACCTTTAGCTCTAGTAGGATTTCGAGCCCAATAATTAGTGCCTCATACTTAGCTTGGTTGTTTGTACACTTGAAATCCAAGAAGAAAGAAAATGTGGTTTTCCTTCCCTTTGGTGAAATGATGACTATTCCAGCTCCTCCTCCATCATGAGTGCTTGATTCATCAAACATAAGAGTCCAAGGTGTATAGTCAAGGTAGAAATTATCCACCTCGTCACATACTTCTGAATCTATCTTGGTAGAAGGATGATCTGTTAGAAATTTTGCCACCGCCCTTCCTTTGACTGCCTTTTGTGGAATATACTTGAAAAAAAACTTCATTAAGGCCAATAACCACTTTCCAATACGTCCAGTGATCAAAGGCCTCGAAAGTATATACTTAATCAAATCTGCTTGAGAAATGATATACACGACTACTGGCAACATGTAGGTTCTTAACTTCATAACCACATACTATAAGGAAAGGCACAACTTTTCAATGGAAGTGTACCTACATTCCACTGGAGTGAACACCTTACTTAGATAATAGATGGCTTACTCCTTTCCCCATTCATTGTTATGGGCTAGGAGGGTTCCAAATGATTCATCAGCGGCCGATAAGTATAATCTTAAAGGCCGCTTCTTGATTGAAGGCATCATCACTAGAGGGTTGGCCAGGTAGTTTTTCAAACCTTCAAAGGCTTTCTGGTGTTGTTCTATCCACTTGAATTCTTCAGCACCTTTCAATTTCAGCAATGGGGAGAAAGCTTGAGTCTTTCTAGTACGGTTGGCAATGAACCTCCTTAAATATCCAACCTGGCCAAAAAATATTTGTAGTTCTTTCTTAGTGGCCTGTGGCTTTGCTTCAATAATTGCCTTTACTTTATTTTGATCTATCTCAATACCTCTTTGGTGAACCAGGAAACCCAAGAAGTTTCCTGCTGAAACCCTAAATGTGCAATTCAAGGGATTCATCTTCAACTTGTGCTGCCTCATTCTTTCAAAAGCCATCTCAAATTCTGAAGACAGTGAACCTTGGCCGAGGACTTGATGACTACATCATCAATGTAGACTTCCAGAAAATGGCCAATCATGTCATGAAAAATGGCATTCATGGCCCTTTGATATGTTGCTCCAGCATTCTTCAACCCAAATGGTATGACAACCCATTCAAAGGTTCCAACGGATCCTGGACATCTGAAGGCTGTCTTAGCAATATCTTCCTCTATAATGTAAATCTGGTTTTACCAGGAATGTCCATCCATAAATGAAAGAATTTCATTCTTAGCAGCAGAATCTACCAACTGGTCAGCAACAGGCATTGGGTATTCATCTTTTGGAGTTGCAAGATTGATATTCTGGAAATCTACACATACCCTTAGCTTGTCATTCTTCTTAATAACTGGAACAATATTAGAAATCCAGTCCACAAACCTGGTGGTTCTTATAAAACCAGCCTTATGTAGCCTTTCAATTTCTTCCTTGGCCTTTAGAACAACTTCCTAGGACATTCTTCTTGCAGGCTGCTTGAAAGGTTTAAAACCTTCCTTAATTGGCAGTTTATGCTCCACCAACTCTCTGGAAAGTCTTGGCATTTCCTCATACGTCCATGCAAAGAAATCTTTGTATTCTTCAAGCAATGAAATCAATTCTTCTCTAAAGGTTGGTTCCAAAAGCTTACTGATGTAGGTAGGCCGTGGGTCTTGCTCCATTCCAAGATTAACTTCCAAAAGTGGATCTTGCTCTTCGGCCTTAAGATCATCAAGCTTCATTGGTGCTGCCTTCAAGTCTGTTAGTTGGATAGCTTCCAACTTGTCTTCAGTATCTTCCATAATCTCCAAAACATTGGTTGAAAATGAAGTACTGGTAGCTGCAGTCCTTTTCAGCCATAGCTCGGCTAGATATGCTTTCAACCTGGCAAGGCAGCAATTAACCACCTGGCCAAGTATTCTATCTTCTTTAGGTTTCTCTTCTATAAAAACTTTTATTTGAAATGTAGTGCTGAACACCGGCTTTTGGTAGAATTATTGGCATTGGTGTTCCTTGGAAAAGCTCACTTATGTCCTCTTCTATGAGAGTTCTCCTCATGGTGGTCTTCCTTGGACGGCCCTCGCTATCCTTTATAATAAATCTGATTGGAACGAATTCTTCACTGTAAAGCTCAGCATCTGCATGGTAAATTATTGCCACAAATGACCGGTTATCAGCCTCCACCACTTTTACCTCATCTCCATCCCAAAATATCAACATTAGATGGAGTGAAGATGGAATGCAAAAGTTTGGGTGAATCTATTCACGGCCTAAAAGCAAGTTATAGGCCGTTGTGGATTCAATGACAAAGAAGGCTGTGATTGAAGTTCTATCTCCCACCGTTAATTCCAACGGTAGAATACCTTGTGTCTTTATTATTCCTCCCGTGAATCCAATAATGGATACATCAATTGGAATGATGTCTTCAGGCGATTTTCCAAGCATACGCGTGACATTGATTGGAACAACGTTCAATACTGAACCATTATCCACCAGAACTCTTGTCAGGGGCCTCCCTTCCACCAGTACCTTAATATATAAAGGTTTGAGCTGCTGAGTCATGCCATATGGTGGCTTTTCCAACACAATTTTCTTTCGAGCTGCGGGGCTATTTTCTTCAATCACAACTCCCTTTGATTTATGAAGATGTTCAGCTTCATTTTTTAAAACCTCTTCTATATAGATACCATTATTTGGTTCCATTATGAATGGCCCGGAACTAAACTGTCCAAGGCTTTTCATGGGAGGACTTGTATCTACTACATCTCCTTCCATTGAAGTTGGCTGATTTGGCTGTAGCTCAAAAAACAAAGGGAGAACCACTACCATATTGCAAGTAAATTCACCTAGAAGGCTCCCAAAATAGATCTTTTTACTGTTGCTGGAACTGTTTAAGATTTTTAAATATGTTCCATCTTTTGTAGAAGGGTCATCTGTCAATAAGGAATTTCTAACTTCTGAATCAAAATCTAGCAAATCATCAGGATCTCTGTCATTTCCTTTAGCTGGAAGTTCTGATAATTCTGAAGGCTTGGTTACCTTTTTTAGCCAGTTGGACCAACCATGGTCTTTCTCCCATAGTCTCTTTCTATCTGCCCTCTTCCTTTGCTGCCTTCTGATGAGCGCAGAATATTGCATATTCAAGCGCCCTAAATTGCATTAGTTAAGTCCATTATTTGATTTTATTATGTAGATTATCTTCATTTGTGCATTTTTGTTTATTTTCAGGTTCATGGGCTTAAAAGAAGCAAGAATGATGTTTTGTTGAAATTTTGAATGCAAAGGCACAATGTTGAAGCTTGGCAGCAGTGGAACCTGACTTTTGTCACCATTTTCGACCTAGCAAACTCAAGAACTGGACTTCCATCATAACATGAAAGATTTAGAGCTCTGAATTAGCTTTCTAAATCTTCAAATGGTTTGTCATTCGGAGCTCGGAGCAGAGAGTTATGGCCTTGTTACCAGAGGTACGCAGAACAGCCTGGCAGCAATGAAATTCTTCCTTGATCTTCATTTCCGACCAACCATCCTTGAGAATTGGATCTCCACCAAAGCATGAAGTATTTAAAGCTCTGAATTAGCTCTCCAAATCTTCAAACGGTTCATCATTCGGAGTTTAGACCGCAAAGTTATGGCCATTTTCATCAAAGTAGGTCTGGGCAGAGCAAGTGAAACATGGAGCTTTTTACACTAAATTCGAGTGCTCGAGGCCTTGCTTCGAGTGCTCAAATTTTGGGCAGATTGTTGTTTGGGAATAGCCCATTTTAGCCACTTGCACTCTACATTTACCAACTTTGGATTTCCCTATTGATGAGGTGGTTGAGGATGTCTTTTGGGAGAGAGAGAGAGGCCTTATCTATAAAAGAGAAGAGAAGGGAGGCCACACAAAGGGATTATCCTACATTTTTACAAGATAGAGGAGAGAGAAGAGAGAAAGAAGGAAGTGTTCTTGAAGCCTAAAGAAGGGAGCTCGAAAATGGCTTGTTCATCCATGCTTCTTCCTTCTTCTAGCTCACTCATGGGTAAATAAACCTCATCTAGGGAGGTGATGAAGCCTCCCCTTTTGCTTATGTTCTAGATTAGGTTCTATTTTGGGGATTATGATGTATCATTTTTGGTCTTTTTATAATCTAGAGCATATTACTTCTTGTAATGAATTCTAATGTTTATAAA